CACAAATGTTTGAGAGGAAGCTTCCGATAAAAAATTCGGTTCGAGAGAGGAGTTCACTGTGTTTCGACCAGAGAGAGAGAGATCTCAAAATTTTGTTTTAGGGTGGGAGTGCTCACATCCCCTATTTAAATTCTTATAACGTATTATTATATTATTTTATTACGCTCTACCTCATACCTGAGGTGTCGCGTTAAAAGTCTGCTTTTATCGTACGAAAACCACGTCCGCTAAAGGACGTTGCCAGCTGCAAGCAGCAGGAGGCAAAAGCAGGCAAAAGAAAAAGTAAAGGCAAAGGCAAAATCTTTTGAAAATAGTGGTGGTCCTCAAGGACCATCATATTCAAACAGAACATCACCTATTTAAAAGCATATTTTCTCGTTTTTTTTTTTTTGAAATTTTAGGATTGTTACAAATTATCCATGGTAAAAAAAAAAGGCAAATCAAAATGCAATATTCTTTAAATATCACCAAACCTTAAACCAAGGAATGAAATACACTAACCTCTCGTGGGCTTCACAGAAAAATTATTCCATTAGATTTATCAATTTTTTGGGTTCTTTTTCCACCTATTTGCCTTGAAGAAACCTGAAAATATTATAGGCTTCTGGAATTTGTTGGTTTTCTTAATGAATTGAGTTTCGGTGCCTGTTTATTTCATAAGATCCTCAATTTAAAATGATGGTCATGGATGTAAAATAATACTTGGAGGTGTTGTTTCTTGTTCATTTTTATGTTGTGACAGCTAATTTTTTCTTCATAAGAATTTTCTGGTCTTTGCATAAACGGGATAATTCATAAAACATTGGGGGACCATGAACTGGCTTTCTCCTCATCAACTTTGTAGTGTATCTTGTCTGTTCCCCTCATCTCCGGGTGAGAAGGTATTTTGTGGTATATTGTGCAGATTGCGCTGTCCCTAATCATGCCCTTGGTATAGAAAAAGATACTTCATTTTTCATTCTTGATGTGTCACTTTAAAGGAAACACAGATATAACCTGAATACCAGGGGGACCCAGACTTTGATTTGGATTAAAAAAAAAAAAGAGTCATTTCTCATATCAAATGATGCTTCAGTTTGGGGCTGGTATGTACAATGTCTTCTTGTTTCGTATATTATGCACCATGAGAATTTTTATAAATATTTATGTATCTATCTTTTTGTTTTCCTTTAAAGGTATTTGTTGTTCTGTACCATAATTACTGGGATCAGTGTCAAATCTGATCTAGGATTGGGATCAGGAGATTATGACAAGCAGAAAGCTCCCTATGGTAGGAACTGCCATATATAACCCTGAAAATTAGGCATGTGAATCCCAATATGTCATGGAGCTCGATGCAACATCAATAGGGATCGAATAATAAATTATGCATGTCTGAGCTCCATTTGGTTAAAAATCGAGGTCCTCAAGAGCAATGAACTAGTATAGTAGTATATACTACTAAATATACCATATTGTTATGCAATGTTGGTATGCTATACTATACTACAATCCTATGCTATACGGTATATTGTACTATACTATGTCTACCATATTTTTATCTAGTATATGCAACTATATTATACCATACTATAGTACATTCTATTATGGTGCACCACATTGCTAGACTATAGTATACTGTTATACTGTTATACGAATCTACTATAGTATACCATATACTATGTTCTAATATACCACTATAGTACACCACATTGCTGGACTATAGTATACTGCTATACTGTGCTACTATAATATTCACTGTACTATGCTGCTATACTATAGTACAATGCAGGACTTTGATCCTTAATAAGAATATTAAGAATCAGGAAGAGCGAGATCTCCTTCCTCCGAGTGCCATATCTAGATTCCGAAGTGGAATGGAACCCTTGGTTGGTAGATCTTGAGAACCATTTTCTGTACCCATACTCTTCTTTATGAAGAATATGATCTCCATTTTTGTAAGTGAGAATCGATATTTTCTAAATTTGAGCTTTCTTTTCGCATTCTCGCTTCATGTGGACTTAGATTTTAGGAAAAGTCCAAGAGTTGGGCTTTGCTTGTTCATCCAAGAGAGTTTTACTTGAGTAGAGGTTAGTGAAATCTCAACAGGACTTTTTGGGTCTTTGTTTCAACTTCCAACAAATCTTTGACTAGATTATTTAAAATGGCGTAAAAGCTTAATTGGTTTCGAAAAGCTCAATTTGAGTATATGTATTTTTGTTACTTCTAAATGCAAAGATCAACTGTCTCAGGTCACTTCTTCCTTTTCTCTAAAATCGTATTTGTAGGAGTCGCATTCGGAAGCCTTATCTTGAAGCCCTAGCCAAAAAAAACAATATGTAGATTTTTTGATCTTTTGAAATATGAACATACCTTGTTGGCCTACAACTGAGAACAATAATGGGGAAACTAATGCCCTTATCTACATCTTATGATTGGAGGAGAAATTTCAGGGGAACATGATAATTTCTAGAAGATATTTCACTGTGGTCTTTTGGCTCTTTTGTTTTTTTGGATGTTTCTACAAAACTGCATACTGCTCTGCCCGCAATTTTGGACCACCTGTGTAATGACGGAGATGTAAACCTTAGACCATTTTATATATAAAATCATCATCATCATCATCAGAGTCTTTTCCCAACTATACGGGGTGAGCTACATGAATCCTGGTCCGCCATTTTACTCCATCAAGGGCCATACCCTTAGTAAGGCCATATGTCCCCATAGCATTTCTCACTACTTCTAACCTTGTCCTTTTGGCCCTACCTTTTGTCCTTTTTGAGCCTTCCACATGAACCAACCCGCACCTCTTAAAAGGTATTCTACTGGGTTGGTGCTAAACATTGTTAGCTCACCTAAGTCTACTTTCTCTCATCTTATCACCTTTTGGAGCCACAAATAAGTTCTCCCAAATTTATTCATTTCAAATTCTATCATTTCTTGTCTTGCCACTAATTATATATAAATTCAATTACTTAAGAGAATACATGGAAATTTCTAGGTCCTTGCATGTATGATTTGCATGGAAGCACATAACAGGTGGAACACACTTTCCATGTGCAAAATTGCTTTTTGAAACAACTATTCTATGTTACTAGATTTGCAAACAAGTTTTGCAAAATGAAGAAGGGCTCATTATCACCTATTCAATTCTTAAAAAACTGATAATATAATTGAGAGGAAAAAATATGATAGGCATGAGGATTAGGGGAAATTCGGATGTAAATCATGCCTTTATTGAGAAGGTAGTTTGTTAAATATTACTCACGATTCTCCTTCATCTTAAAGGAATATCTGTTAGTGGCTCAAATAAGTAGGCATCCTAGATTGGACGTAAGTATAGGAGTTACTTGCACTCTCTATTGTAATGGAGCTCCCTTGTGCCTTGGCGTATAAATAAGAAAAGAAGTTTGTTATCCACATGTTTTGTGATACGTGAGGGAGAGAAGAGGACAACCTAACCTTGGTTATACCTCCTTGGTCTCCTCCCCAAGGACAACCTAACCTTGGTCTCCTCCCCCAATTTTAGGGGGTTTTATATGTAAAAGTTGGTGCACATAGTGGAAAGCAATGAGTTTTAAAGCAAGCCAATCGACAACTTAGGCAGGAATAGTTTGTTATAGGCTGGTCATACCTTAGATTTATAGGTTTTCTCATGAAGGCTTTGCCGCTCTATTGATGCTGTTGTCCAATAAGGGTTGTTTCCATGGCCCTTGAACTGAGTCTATCTTTGGGTATTTTATCTCCTTTGCAATATTTGTTTTCGTTCATCTTTTGATCTTCGTGGTTCAATATTTGCTTTGTGATGAGTTTCGTTGTCGTTAAGTTGTTTTTTGCTGTCACTTCTTTTCCAAGATATATATAGATACATATAAATTAGATACACGCACACACAAGTTTTACAATTATATTGTATTTTATTTTTTTGCAGAGTGGGAAGTCTGCTGCTATCTATGCTTGTGCTAAAGAACAAGGATTTGAAGTAATTGAGGTATTATGCAATTCAAATATTGACTTTTTTAATCTTCTCTTTGTGAGCTTTCAATGTCCTTATTGCTGTCATGATATCTAGGATATCCTGATATATATAGATGCTTTTATTCAAGAAAATATTTTGTTAGTTTAGGGGCTTTCTACAGTATGCACTGTCAAATGATTTTTATTATCTTCATAGTATAGAAGTGCGTGAATCCTTATATAAGATGTTGGTTATTTTATCTATAAAACAAAAGTTTGTCAGACAATTATGTTGTATATTATGTGATAGTAATCAAGGAATCGTAGAGTTTTCATTACTAATTTATCCTGTGGTATTCTTTGCTACAAACTACAATTGTGAGCAAGGCTTCTCTTTATAAAGCCATCCTTTTAACTATCGGTTATCCTCAAGATCACTCTCCATGTGAAGTTTAATCAAACCATGAACCTGGTGTGAAAGCAGGATGGTTCAACTATGCCATGTTGGTTGGACATGGTAGTACCTGCTTGGGCTACAGAAGTTCCCACAGTACTTTCACTGGATGACTAGAGCTCAATTGCTTCCTGCCTTTATGCCTACGTGATTTCTCTTTTTTTTGGAAAGGGTATCGTTTGAAGTATGAAAAAATACATAAAGTTTACCCCTTGAAAGGATCGAAGATGATGAGTAAATTACAAAACTTAAATTCAACAAATCTAGGGGTCAATCAATATTGATTCGCAGTTAACAGTTTCTCACCCTCCTTGGCTGACCTGTCTGCCTCTGCATCCCCCAACTGTATGACGCGAAAGGAGATTTTCTTGTTCTTGCATAATTCCCTCACCTCTGCTAGGACGTGCACCACTTGCCAAGATGATGGTATGTCATTTCAGGTCCAAAAGGGGTTTCTTTCTGCCTCTAAGTGAAAACTATCCTACTATACACTAGCAGGATCCCTATAAGCAAAGCCCTCGCTTTACTTAACTCCAACGATCTGCTGTGGGACGGCAAATCTCCAACAACACCCCCCAAATCCCAATTGGGCCAAGGTTTCCTCTTAAGATCATGTAAAATTGAGTTTGAAATGCTTAGACATCGTTCTAACCAGTGTTTGAAAAATCGTCGATCCGGATCGAAAATTGTCTTGGGCATTCCAGATCTCGTAATATATTGGGATCCAGCGGAGTCCCCCTAGAAATTGGCAGGTTCGTACCCGGTTCTTAGACAGAGAACCGAACAGTTCACGAGTGAACCGGTGCTTTTCCACGTATTTTTCCCCAAACTCTTGGTTTGCAATTATCAAGTTCGTTTGAATAAAAAATAGACTTGGCATGGCCCACTAATATTTCATGCTCATCATTTAAATGTGTCTTAACTCCCCATGGAGCCCATTAATCAGGGCCAAAATGCTTGCGTCCACACGTGCAATGCAGTCTATACCTCTAGCAAAGGCGATGTAAGTTTTTATAGAGGTGGTTTCGTCCTTCAAGTCCCAATGTGGGATTATTCTTCTTTCCCCTCATTTTTCTAGCAGCTGATAGAATCATGCTCAAATGGCCTCCTATTTCGTTCTTCAAGTCCTGATTGAGCATGATTTATCTTGTGATGGGGATGGCGGCATTTTAGACAATACAACAATCGGTGCTTGGACTGCCTATGTATTGAATAAAATACATACATCATGTGGATGGCATATAGAGAGAACTATGGCGGTCCTGCACGACCAAATTCTTGTGACTTAAAACTTTCTCAAAAGATTGAATCATGCTCAAAATGGCCTTACCTCGCCCGGTAGGACCTTGGGGTTAGCTCTATTTATGGGTTTTTAACCCTTATATTTGTCGTACAAAATGCATTTGATTTAGCAAAAAAAAAAGAAAAAGAAAAGGCCTATGTGAAGCACATGTAACATGTTCAAAATAGAAATAGAAATGCCATTTTTTCCTAAAAATTCCAACAATTAATTGTTCAAAGAACGTTTTGAAAAGGAATACCTTAATATTTTTTTCCTAATACCTCAATAAATATTTTGGCTTTGTGCACTTATTTTTTACCTGTTGGGAATACCTTAATGCTAGATTCTTGTCTTTGATTTTTTTTTTGGAAATACCTTCATGTTGGATTCTTTTTACTTATTTTATTTCTATTTAGTGACTTTCAGCTTTTCTTGGGGCAGATTTATTAGATAGAACAATTACTATTAAATTCAAAACTTCTAGAGAACCATATTTGTGGCATTTTTATGACTCCAAATTTTGCATAAGCACTCTGTTCGTCCCAAAAATCAACCCCAAAAAAAATAAAATTCTATTTGTACCTTAAATATGGTCAACATGAGCCTCTGTAATAATGCATCATGACTGTCCCATTTGGTGAATTTTAAGATCTTAGCATTTAAGAACTCAAAATCAAAATTTTCGTTTTTATGATTGTTCATCTGACAAAACCATCTACAAAATTTGGAGAAGGAAAAAAAATTCTTCTAAGGCCTAGATCTAAGCATCTCACCAAATGGAGGGCCTAGTTAAGTGGGTTAAAAAATCACTTTTTAAGGTGCATTTTCAATTTCTTTTTTGTTAATTGTTCATCAAAATGAAAAGAGTTTGTTTAAAACTTTAACGCAAACAAATGGCCCCAGCATGCTTTTTGAGAATTTTTCATCATATTACTATAAAAGTGTTGCATGAAATCACTCTCATATAAATATTAGGAAGTGCTTGTACAGAGAGCCAAACTGGATTTTTTGGCGTAACATAAAAGACACCTTGATACCTAGTAGACATTGACACTTGTGTAGATGTCCACTATACTACAAGGACATAGATTGTGTGTGACTTGGATTTGAAGAATCCACATTTCCACATCATCTTATTTTGCCAAGTCTAGTATGACATGCCCATCATCTTATTTTGCCACGTCTAGTATGACATCCATAAATTCGACATCCATAAATTCATGCGCCCCTCGATATAGATATATAAAATTAGTTTGACCTTTTAATATTAATACTTTTCAAGTGAAAGACACACATGTCCAAATGAAAGACATGCATGTGCGGACATGTGTCTTACAAAATGCAAATGAAATCCTTCTTTTGGCGTGGTTTGGATGTGTGCCTTACTTTGATTGTTTAATGTTGAAGCCTTATGTAAACTGTACCCATCAAATAATAAATCACAATATTCCACTTCACAAGACCTCTCTAATCAGAGCATGCAAAATATGCCCACCTTTATCTAGTAATCCTTAAATCAAATAATGATGTATTATTATACTTATGAATTTTCTTTAAGAAAAATGGATTTGGAAAATGCTTATTCCTTTGTGAAAGGTATTTGTTGAAAGATTAATTTATAAATGAAGCAAGCCTCACTTGAGCGGGGTTAAACTATAATTATCGGAATCTCTCTGCCGAGGTCGCAATTTCAGTTCAGAACCCTGATTTGTCGATTCCGACAAGGAATCTTCACGGAACCCATTTCTTGGAACTTAGGATTCTCAATTCCTTAATTTATGTATGATCTTGTTTCAAAATTTTTCGAAATCTTGATCCCATTATTTATGGAATCTCGGTTCCAACTTTTTCGAATCTTGATTCCAACATTTATTGAATTTTCATTCCACATCTGTTGATTCCCAATTCCACATGTAATGAACGATTCAATTTGGTTTTGAATTCAGAATCCACAACATCAAGTACCTCTGTTTGTAGGTGCAGGGATATGTGATTCAATCAACATGGAATCTTACTTTGACCTCCATAGAATCTCGATTTTGAACTATTTTGGAATCTTGATGCTATGAAATCAAGTACTGTTGTTCATAGGTGCACAAATCTGCAATTCATTGTGCATGTAATCTTACGTCAGATATCTATGGATTCTGATTTCAGTTATTTCGAAACCCAATTGGAGGACATTATTTCCCATGGTTTATAAGTAAAATAATCTGATGAATGCAGTGCTGAAGTATTTGTAACTGGAATCAACTCTCAAATGCAAATGTTTAGAGTTAAGAAGTACTCAAAACATATGATTCTAATGTCTTTTGCAGGTAACAAAGGTAGATATAACTAGGTGGTTGGAGCATTAAATTCATGAGAAATTGGTCTTTTGAGCATTAAAATTTAAATACTCCACATCTTCACCCTCATTATCACAAGGAACAAAGCCCTAAGTGCGTTGGGATTTGCACTTTTTATTTATTTATTTTTTTGGAGTGGTGATGTTTTCTGTCAAACCTCTCTTTGTTTTGGACAATTGATGCGTATGATACCAAAACATCAACACCCAATCTGAAGTCACAAGATGCAATCCTCTTTATGTCATTTTTTGACAGCAAATGAACAATGCAAAATCATGTAGTATATTAGATTGATTTCATTAATCGTGCATGTTAATGATCCATTAGAGAGATTGTAAGTCGAAAAATTTAAAAATAATATATACATGTGTGCCAAGTTGATCAAAGGATGGCCTAAAATTCTTTGTTGCATAATTTAATTTTCTATGGTATTAACGGACTATTGTTTTGGTAATAAGTTATAAATAATTTACTAATACTTCATTGCTAAGTAGAACAAAGAATCAAAACTAACTATCCATGTGTCTTCTTAATGCTTGATTGTAAGGGGGTTACAAATCTTGATTGCCAGATCGGTCAAAACTCCAGTCCAAACTGCTATGAATCTTGATTCCAATCTCAGTCGAATCTCAATACCGAACTGGTATGAATCTTGATTCGAAATGCCTCGAAATCTTGATTCCAAAGATGCTGGAATGTCGATTCCAGAAATAAAGGAATTTGGATTCCATACTGGTCGATTCCAAATAGGTCCGAAACTCGATTATATAGTGCTAAGAATCTTGATTCTATCAAAAAAGAATATCATTTCTCACTATTCGTCTTGTATAGATGTCGACTCCAAAAACATGAATCTTCTAGCCGGCTGTGATTCCAATTCCTAAGATGTTTTGGATTCGGAATCACTTCCAACAACTATGAGTTAAACATATGGTGTGATTGAGAATTAA